CCGATGGAGGCCAGCTCCCCCCTGGCGCCGCGGCGGCTGAATCGGCGGCTTCCTCTGCCGCCGGAGGTCCCGAGGCGCTCGCGAAAGCCTTGCGGGGCCAGCTCGCGGCGCGCGTGGGCGCCGCGCTCGCCGCGTTCAAGGTGGGCGCGGCTCGAGCCGTTGCCGCGGCCATCCGCGACTCCCGGGCGCCCCTCTCCAGTCGCATCGACGGCTCGCACCTCTTCGGCAACGCGTCGCAGCATGCGAGAGGGCTCAGGACGAGACGAAGCAGGCCGTTGCCGATTTGCAGAAGGCCTTCTTTCTCGCGGAAGCGCGCGCGCCCGTCGTCGACCCGGTGGCGGAGGCGGACTTCGACGGAACGCCCGGCACCGCGGTCTTCGCGGCAGCCTGCGCCGAGCTGGTAGCCCCAGCCCAAGTTCAGCAGGGACTTGTTGCCTGGTGTGCTGAATCAGGTGTGGAGTGGTCCAAAGCCGCTGCAGGGCCAATGTGGCCATCGGCCGTTGCGCTGCCACCGTTGTTTCAACTCGGATTATTCTCTTTCATCGCGTCCTGGCGGCAGAGTGCAGTCTCTTGGATATTGCCAGGGTCAAGATTGTCTCGCCATAATCCTGAATTTCCGCAACTTTGACATCCCCTTTGCCGAACGCAAGACGATCTTCCATTATTGGCAGGCTTCCCAACGGCGGGCGCAGCAGCGTCCCATGGATCGGATCTTCTTGGTGTTTGGTGATTTCAATATCCGCGACGAGCCTGCGGTTCAGTTTCATCGTCCAGGCCCGCTTCAATTTCCCACGCCTGGTGGACATGCATTTCAGCGGCCCAGTTGGCGGCGACACTTTTCTCTGATAACGGAGATTGCTCCTGGTGGGCCGACGCGATGCGACCCCTGCACTGCCGCCAAGATGCGCATCGACCGCATCTTCTGCAGCCTCCCAACCTGCAACTCCAGGTCCATATCCAGCATGATGCGGCTGCTCTCAGCGACCGTCGACCCAGTGACCACGCCGCCTTGGCGCTTCGCGCGGACGTTGCGACCCCGCGAAAGGAGCGCGCGCAGCTGATCCCAGAGTTCCTCTTCGCGCTCCCCATGTACGCCATGTTCTGCAACCTACTGACTGAGCGCGCCAGGGACCTGGCCTCCGCTCCGACCTTGGCATGGCGCGCGATCAAAGAAAACGTGGTCGAGGCTGCGCGCCCTGCCAGGAACCATCTCCTACACCTTCCTGGCGGCCACCGTGGGCCAGCCCCTTCTGAGGCGCAGCTCTTGGTGCACCGCTCGATTTCGAGGGCGGTCTGGCGCCGAGAGAGTGCTCTTGCTGCCACCTTCCTCGCGATGGACCCCCGCGCTCGCCGCCTGCCCCAGCTGGAGAACGACCGCGCGCAACTTGCGGACGCGGCGGAGTTCGCGGAGCCCCCGCAGAAAGCGCGCCACGACCACTACCTCTCGCAGAAGCGATAAGCAGCAGCAGCGGCCCAGCGAGCGGCATGGGGAGGTCGCGAGTTGGAAATTGCTCGCCAACAAGAAGTAGCTCGTACAGCGCATCGCCGCGCTCGTGCATGAGCCCCCTCTGCCAGGATCACCCACTTGGTCGGTGTCCGCGTCCCTGGCCAGCAGGCGACTGCGAAGACCCCTCGCGACATGGCTCAGGCGCCCCAGGCCCACTGCCGACTCCCGCAGCGCTCCGACGGGCAGCTCGACGTGCGCGGGCCTCCGCTCCGGGACCCGATCGGCTTCCATACCGCGCGAGGTTGTCGGCATCCAGCGCCTTGAACGCGCTTGATGACCTGACCTGGGGCATGCCTGAATCGGATTTGGCGCCGACGGGCTTCAGCGACTCCATCTTCTCCATCGCCCCGAAGGGCGCCGAGGGCGACGGCGCCGCCGTCTGCGCCAGGGCGCCCGACACCCTGCGCCAGAACGCCGGCAGCAAGCTCTTTGCAATTGCGCTCAATGAGCAGATGCGTATCCCAGTTGAGGAACATGCCCATGATATACAGCTGGGCTTCATCCGTGGCCGTAACTTCTTCCGCAACATCGCAGTCATTCATGCGCTTGGTCGCGCTGCAGGCCTTTCACCAGATGCAACCGTGGACCGCCATGTGCAAGTTCTCTTCGACATCGATGCGGCCTTCCCCCCCTGGGCCGCGACTGGTTGTTTGCCGCGCTGTCGAACTTCTGCTTCGATCAGGGCATCACCGACGCCGTCCGCGCCCTCTGCCACGACGCCCATGGAGTGGTCGCGCAGCAGGGCGACTAACCCTACATCTGCCCCCTCATTGCTGGGGTCGCTCAAGGGTGCCCCTTGTCCTGCACTATCTGGGCCATTGCGATGGGCGTCATCATTCGCGCGCTCGGCTCGCAGATAGGCTCTGCTGACGGGTGCGCGGCTGCCGCGTGCGCTGGCGATCTGGGGTTGCATCTCAACCAGCTACGGGATCTACCAGCGTTGCAGTCGGTCTTCGGTGCCGCCGCACGCCTTGGACATCTGCGTCTCCGCCCGAAGAATTGCATCACCATCCCGCTGTGGGCCGCGATAACGGCGCAGGTGCAGCAAGAAGTTCGATCGCTCCCTGCCAGCAAATCCCCAGGTGGCATTAAATCGGCATTCAAGGTGTTGGTATTTTCTCGGTGCGACAATTGGGCTCGCAGCGACGAATCAGTTGCAGTGGCAGGCGTCCTCCGACGCATGGCGGGCGCGCGTCGTTTGCTTACAATCACCAGACATCATGCGTCGCGGTCTTCGGATACCTCGTGAAATTATAGGACCTGCCGCGCGAGACATTACAGCGTGACAGTCATGCGCTCCATCGTGTACTTCGGCTTACTCCCAACACCATGCGACTTGCGGACATGGTTGCCCTCTCTACCCGGTTTCCATCTCCGACACCGCGTGGCCTGGCGCCCTACAACATTGCGTCGTTGTGGCGCGTTTCCAGGTGCGCGATCCACACCTGGCGGCACTACGCCGACCACGTGAACGACGCTGCCCTGCAGCATCTCCCACTGGTGTCGCACATTCGGGGTCAATGGTCGCCTGCGTTCTGGCAAATACCGACGGCGATCGTGCGACGCTTGCTCGCGTGCAGGAGGGGCCCACGGACGCCCCGATCAAGGTGGCGCCGCGCCAGATGCTCCTGACGTCCAGCACCAGCTCTCCGAGTTCACCAGCGACGGTTCGCGACAACGACCACAACGAGAGCTGCACCGCGCTCTCACTCAGCTTGCCCACCCCGATGGCTCGTGGCACACCCTTTCCAAGAGGACCATTGCGTGGCTTGGTCAAGTTTCCGTACCTCATGATCTTCAGCAGCCCTGGCTTCATCTGCGCGAGCATCCATGACATCTCTCTGCGGCCTGGCGCCGGGCTGTGCTCAGAACACTTTGCGGGCGGTGGCGCACGACGCATACAATGCATGTGCGACCCGATCGGACCAGCTGCCTCTTGGGCTGTGATGACGCCGACGCCATCGGCCACTACCACCAGTGTCCTCGATCGACTGACCCGCCTGACCTGCCTTCCACGAGCCTTCGCGCACTCACTGCCGTTGTCACGTATTGGGATTGGTGCGGTTACCGACTATCAACTGGTGCCAGGGCATGAGTGGTCCCCACCATCCAGCGCTTTGGCCATCGCCTACTATGTCGTGCTCAAGCTGCGTCATCTACTTGCTAACGAACGAGAGGCCCCTAGTACGACTCGCATCTCCGTGCTCTTCGGGCAGCGCGTGATCGTCTCCAGCAGGGTGCACTTCCGACCCCAGGGCACCCACGGTCCCACGACGCCACCACCGACTCCCTTCCCCACCCGCCCTCCGAAGACCTCCCTGACGCCCAGACCGACGCCCTTCCTGACGCCCAGTCCGACCCCGGTCCTGTTACCCATGTCACCCCTTTTCCCGACGCTCAGCCCAACGCCCAGTCCGACTCCCTTCCCGCTGCCTTTTCCGACCCTTGCCCCGACGCCCAACCCGACCCAACGTCCCGACGGACCGACGCTCCTACACGCGAAGCTCTGACGTTTTCACTTCGTGACGACCTGCTCCGACGTGTTACTGCCGAGGTTTTGTCACGTTCTGCCGCACGTCGCGGCCGCGGCCGCCTCATGATGACTGGATATTCCGCTGATGATGTCCGCCCAGCAGTACCTGTTTTTAAACGGCCACCTGATTCTCCACAGCCTCCATCGGAGGCCACCAACACAGGCTCCTCTTGGGAGCCGCCTCTGCCATTCAGCCTCAATGGAGTCGACCTGAATGCCCCCCTGAATGTGACAGCGGTTGCCGACTCCGCCAACTGCGCGCTGAACATCGGCTTCCTTCGGCCAGTTCAGCGACAACGACCTTGTCGCCAAGGCGCGTAGCCCGGTGCGCCTCGTCCACGAAGGCGCCCCCCCGCGGCCCGCGGCGGCGAGGCGCGCAGGATGAATTCGTCCCCTCTGTTCACTGCTGTTGCTGCTCCTCCTCCTCCGCCTCCTCCTCCTCCTCCTCCCCCTCCTCCTCCTCCTCGTCCTCCTCCTCCTCCTCCTCATCATCCCCTTGATCCACTTCGCCGTGTCGCGTCGATGCTTGAGACTGTGTTTTTGCCCGCGCGCCGGACGGCGTATGGCTTGAGAGTGAGAGTGAGTACTCTTGATGGCTTAAGACGGCTTGCTCGTACCGACTCCAGGATTTGCCCGTGCTCTTTGATCGCGGCCGAGCGCGTGCACTGCGAATGCACTGCCACGCACGCAGGCGCGCATCTTCGCACAAATCTGACCCGCCGCATTATTGCCCTTCCATGCCCAGATCCGCGCCAAATCGGACCCCTGGACACTTCCTGGGGCTCATCTTCACTGGCCTTTCACCCGTGATTGGTTTTAGCAACGCGTGGGCACGCAACGGGTCCGAGATGCCGACGTCGAGGAGGTCGATGTCGATCCTCTTCCCCTCCTTCCTCCCTCTCTTTCTCCATTTCTCCCCCTCCTCCCCCATCCCCTCCTCCCCGTGCCGCCCTGCTACAGGCGAGGCTACACGAGACGGCGGCGGCAAACGTTGCGAGGCTGGGGGCAGAGCTTGCCCACTGGCGCAGGCACGAGGACGGCACGCACCCGTCTCGTATGTCGCAGGAGGGTGAGGGGGGGTGGGATAGTCAGTGCGGTGGTGTGCGGGTCCACTTCAGATGCAGCAGGCACATCACATCAGAAATCGGTTTGTCAGCAGGTGCCCCATGGAAATTTCTGATCATCGGATGGTCCCACAGAGCCACAGAAGCTCTGGGCCACCTCAGGACCCTTCCACAGATCGACGAAGAATGTGCCCCAATCTGGTTTGTAGCAAGATGTCCTACCGTAGGTGTCGATTGTAATCAGTGCGGTGGTGTGCCGATTCACTTCAGATGCGGCAGGTTCGCGCCGCGTCCACGCGGCGGCGACCCCAGCGCAGGCATTCGAGACTGAACGCCGCCAGTGGCCCAGAGTCGGCCGATTTCGAACCGCGATCTTGCAAGGTTGGACGATCCTCGCGGTGCCCAAGACCAGCGGCGAGGTCATCGCGGCATGAACCGCATACGAGTTTCCATCGAGCCCGCAGAGCGGGAGCCACGGCGGGCCCCCAAGGGGTATGGAACGGGTGCGTCCTGCCCCCATCCGTGCCGCTCTTTGGCTTTTTTCAGACGAGTCCGCGCGGCGCCAGGACGAGAGCCCCAGTTTGAAGAGGAGCCGCCCAACATCGGTGTAACCGATTGTCTTTTGGACCAGGTGTGCGCGCCGTCAAGGCTTTAGGCCCTTTTGAAAACGAGCATGTAGCTTGTGGCTGTTTCAAGCTTCAGGGGCATAAGCCGCGAGGAAGTCTCAAGCAAAACCCTCGCCCGCCCTAATGACAGGTTTGGTGCCACGACAGGGAGGAGGTATCTACAAGGAATGTGGATGGAGGAGGCGGAGGGGCCAGACAAGCAGCAGGAGCTGGATGATCAGGTGGAGGAGGAGGAGGAGGAGGAGCAGGAGGAGGTGGGAGTGGGGGAGGTGCTCGCAGGTTTCGGAGGCTCTCGAAGGTTTCCGAGGAGGCGGGAGACGAGGAGTGTGATGATGCATCCCGATGGTAAGTGTTACTTCCGCTCGGGATCCTGACCCTGAGCAATCCTCGGAGCCTTTGAGGCCCCCTGGGCCCTGGGCGAGGCCCCCAGAGGCTCAGGTGGCCAGACTAAAGTTCCCAAACGCTGAGAACCCGTCAAGAGCATCCGAAGCTTTCCCGGTTCGGTCCTTGAGGGTCGGTCGCAGGTTGCGATTGTGCCTCGAGGCGTTGTACTGGCTCGGCGTTCATGCCTTTCCTCATGCACGTCGTCGTGCGGGTGCGTGTCTTCTTTATGTGTTGGTTTTGCCGATGCGCCGTCTGGGTGCAATTTTCTATTTGCGTGCCGTGGTGAAAAAGAGAAGGGGACGGGGAATGCACTGGAGGCATCTTGGCAGCAGTCCCGTCCGCCCAGGACAGGTCCACGAAGAGCGATCGCACCGCCCACGAGAAGTCCACGCGGAGCGACGCCGCCCACGAGAAGTCCACGCGCAGCGACCGCGCCTTTAACGACAGGTCCACAGAGAGCGACCCCTCCATTCGTCATCGTCCTCCTCTTCCTCCTCATTTCCCTGCTCCTCCATCTCAGTCTTCCTCCCCTTCTGATGTTTCCCCGCTCTCTTCCCTCCCCCACCTCGCGCGGGGCGCCCGCTGGTACGCTGGCGTGCAGCGCGGGTAGCTTAGCAATCGTATCCACACTTTTGCCGAGTGCGCTCGAGGTATCCCACGGGCAGCTCGTCTGCCCAGCGTCGTCGAGCTCGCCGGCGGCCGCCTTTGCCACGTCCATCTTCTCAGCGCCACCCGGGTCGGCAGCTCGGGCACGCCGAGGAGAAGCAGCATCGGAGGGGAGGCGGAGGAGGAGGAGGAGGAGGAGGAGGAGGAGGAGGGGGAGGAGGAGGGGGAGGAGGAGGGGGAGGAGGAGGAAGCGGAGCAGGAGGAACTCTGGAAAGGCGGGACTTGTGTAACGTTTCCGAGCTCTCCTGTATTGTCCGCTGGCTCTTGCTTCGTGGCGACTGGACGACTCACATGTTTGCAGCCGAATGATGCACTCGTGTGGCATTCGCAGTTCGTTTGGGGGAGCGCTGCGTTCCCGGGTGGCATTTAACGGGCCAGCTGTCGTCACTCAGAGGCCGCGCAGAGCTTCGTGCCGACAACAGAAGAAGTGGGGGAGTGTTTGTTCACCACAGAGTGCTTGCACCCAGGGGTTCTTACTTGAATTCCGAGTTCATTGGGCCCACATGGCGGTCTGGCTGGCTCGTTGCCGCCCGTCGCCGCCTGTCCGTCGCTGCTGGGCCCCCGGCTCGTCGCCGCCCGTCGCCGCCGCACGCGCAATACGCTTTCAATCGCATTGCACTCGCATTGCGTTGCATTGCAACCGCATTGCATTGTTTTTGCGTTGGCACCAAATAGATAAGACCACATGGATTCTCATATATGATTCTGACCACATGTCCATACTAAATATGACTTTTCACTATCCCAGGGGGGCCGGTATCGGTTCCCGTAAGGTTCCCTTGATAAAAAACAATACGCGGGACATGGTTCGCTCTTAGATAAGACTTTTTCACGTATCCCTTGCAAACGGACGAAGTGCACACGCGCGCGTCGTCGCGCGCGCATGCCGAAATCCTTCAAAAACTTTCGGTGTCGGAAGGATTTCGCAATCGAGCTTCCCAAAACAATGCAAAAACACAGGGTTTCGCAACACTGATCTGCTAAAAAAGCTTACGCGCGAGCTCTTGCGAAATCTTAAGAGAGCCATAGGTTTTTCAAGATTTTCACAAAATGCTACCAAACGGGCTTCGCGCGCGCGCATGTCGAAATCTGTCGAACGCCCTTGCGCGTGTGCCGTCGCGAGAATCCTGTGCAACAAAAGTGGACGAAATGCAGACGCACGCGTCGTCGCTCGCGTATTCCGAAATCCTTCAAAACCCATCGGTGTGGGAAGGATTTCAAAATCGTGCATCCAAAAAACCTACAAAAACATAAGGTTTCGCAACACGGATTTTCAACAAAAGCGTGCGCGCGCGCTCTTGCGTCGTCGTCGTCGTCGCCGTCCTCCCTCCTCCCGCGTCGTCGTCCCGTCCTCCCTCCTCCCTCGTCGTCGTCTTCGTCGTCGCCTACGTCGTCCTCTGTCTTTCCTCGTGTTCGTCGTCGTCGTCCTCTTTGGCGTCGTGGTCGTTTCCGTCGTCGTTGTCGCCGTGGTCGTCCTTCCTCCTCCTCCCTCGTCGTCATCGTCGTCCGTCGTCGGCGTCTCGTCGTCGTCCCTCCTATTTCGTCGCCGTCGTCGTCGTCGTCGTTTTCGTTGTCGTCGTCGTCGTCTTCTTCCCTCCTCCCTCGTCGTTGTCGTCGTCAGCGTCGCCGTCCTTCCTCCTTCTTCGTCGTTCGCGTCGTCGCCGTCCTCCCTCCTCCCTTGTCGTTGTCGAGCCGCCGTCCCGGCCTGAGTGGTTTGTGGGAGCCGTGCCAGGCACGGCGAAGCCACTCGCGCGGGACTGCTGCGACACGCGCCCGCCCCACCAGCGCGCCCCGGCAGCCACGGCGCGCGGCAGGAGGGCCAGCCGTGAAGCAGGAGGTGAACCAGCCTGGCACCGTCGAGCCAGGGCTGACCGAGGCAGGGCCAGGACCCTGCTCAGGATCGCCACAGCATCAGGTCTACACGAGCAACAGCATTGCAGTATGACGTGGAGGACTCAGCGCAGCCATTCATCTGCGCGCTCGAGACAGCCATCAAGACGAAGATCGCAATGGCAAGGGCGTCTACAAGGACAACACCGGTACTTGTGGGAGTGCCCGGCACGCAACCATCACAACAAGTGGGGGATCACAAAGTGTGAGAAGTGCCATCCGAATCAGCCAGCAGCCAAGCCAGCTGCTGACCAACCTACATCCTCCCCCCCGTGGAGGCGATTCAGCTCGCGACGCCCAGCTTACAGCAACAGCACGGAGGAGGACGAGACCATGAATAACATGCCTTGCTCGCCAGAAGAGGCCCGCGCCCACAGGCGATGGCAGGAGCCGCCTGAGAACCCTCAGGAGATTGGTGAGTACAGAAAGGCCCTGGGCTCTACATTGGAGGGCCTAGAACGTCAGATCAAATGTTCGCAGGAGCTTAAGATGGACGCATCACAAGTACGAGGCTTGCGACATGAGTACGCCGTAGTATTGTACCAGCTCATGTACTCTCGCACGGCCTCTGCCCGCACGGCCAAGCAGCTCAACTTTGTCAATCGAGCAAAGCGCAGGCCGACGGACGCCACACAGAAGCAGGTGGAGGCGCAGATCCATCTTGACTCCTGTGTCGCACAAGTACATGCATTACACGAAGAAGTGGCACACGCTGAAGACCTTCTCGAACATTTCAAGGACCTAGAAGACGAGGAGAAGCGGGACAACGAGCGCAAGCAGGCAGAGGTGCGCACGCACATGTCGCACACTCATAAGCCACGCGCAGCAGACTACATGGATGAAGATGAAGAGGAAGATTCCGACGGAGGCCCTCTCGCGCCAGCAGGAAGAGCCTCCCGGTCGCGTACGCAGTGGCCAGCTACCACGCGCTCGCCGAGCACACCAGCGGGCACACGAGCACCAAGCACGCCAACCACACGAACTCCGCCTGGAGCTACACCGTGCTCGGGCTCAGCGGATTCGAAAGCGGAATTCTCCACGCCAGGGTTGCTAGCGAGCGTGCAGCATTCGCAGCAGGCCCTCATGGCGCAACTCATAGAGTTCAAGACGGCCATGAACACCATACAGAAGCAGCTCACAGACGTCAGCGTCAACAGAAATAATGCCAGAGAAGAACTTCAGCGACAAATTCAGGCACTACAAGCACAGACAGCAAGGACATCGCCTACGCCCACGCCAAGAAAGGATAATGGCAAGTCCAAGTCAGCTACTCCCGACGCACGCACAGAAGGACGTCGACGGCTTGAAAGTGCGTTCGCCCAAGGAGCCGAGGCAGAAAGACCCGGATCGACCTCGCCCAGGCGCTCCACGGGTCAGGCACCACCCAAGCAGATCAAGATCAATGAAGGGATGGCCAGGGATTCCAAGCATATGCGACCTGATGAACCGCGTGAGAGGGCGGCGGGAGGAGACGAGTCTGACATGGCAGCGTTGAGCGGAGCTAGCAGCACAGCAGGCCAGCTGGCAGTTTTTCGCGCGGCAGCCAATCCGCCCACGCAGTATTAACATCGGCTGAGCGCGTTTGGCGCTCAGCAGAGCATTCTGGCAGGCTCGCTCAGGTCCCCCTTTTAGCCCCCCTCTCAGCAGCCAGCCAGTGTACAAAATTCGACTCCAGCGAACACAACGGAGGGCCGCTCACCACATGAGCAAGGATTACTTGAATCTAACATTAAGTTAACTACGCAGGCTCCTAATGGGAAAACCAGTAGAGGAATCCAGAGGTCGCCGATCCCCGATCTCCGACCTACTCAAGAACACAGGGAGCGCAGGTGGCCTGTTCAGACGGCCAGGGGCCCTCCTTCGCGGGCCCCTTACTGGCACCCTTCTTCTGCCCAGGCCCTTCCAGGACTCATCCAGTGCGATTCCAACCCGAGGTCTGCCCGACTGGAAAGCTACGCTGGCGCTACCGCAGGAGGGTACCGACACAACGGACAAGTGTGCAGGCCAGCTTGGGCGCTGTGCATCATGGCTGTCTCAGTATTAGGTGTCATTTTGCTCGGCTACTTGGCAGGCCCGCTCCCCGAATGGGAAGCAAACGATTCACTCGCTCCGCAGAGGACAGAGCTGGAAGCCGCCATCTGGACCATGGCATGGGTCATGCAGTCGCAGTTCAGCTCTCTACCTTTCTGCTTGCTCATAGATAACACGGCCGTTCACAGAGTATATCAGGGATGATATGTTAGAGGAGAGCTCAGTACTACCAAGCTACTACCCGAAAATCTGGCACAATGTGCACGCGCACGTGCAAATATGCTTACTTTCCAGCATGTACATGGTCATGTTGCGAATTCATGGAGCGAATCCGTTGACACAGCTGCCAAGTTGTTTGCCTGTCAGTGCTTCCCACCCCTTTCGAGCCACAGTGGCGCACGCCGGTAGAACATGCACCCCAGTGGATGGCCAAGCCGAGGCTTCGGCCGAGTTGCGTTTCACCCGAGGCTCGCTCCTCACTGCTTCAGACGGCCGACCGCGCCATGCACATCGCCAAAGAGCCCCGCACGGACCTCCAACGGATCGCTCCTAGGCCTAAAAAGGTCCCGATAGGAAACACAAGAGCCACGCCATCTTATGCTGGGCGGCCATAGCCAAAGTGCTACCATGGACCCTCAAGCGCTGCAAGGACCCCAGCAGCCCCCAAGGCCAGCAGGCCGCAGCATCACTGGTCGCACGACGCATTTGCCTGCTCCGTCAGCGGCTAATCCACATATGCTCGTGGGCACGGTCGAGTCATACAGGCATAAAAGCAGGGGTCGCACATGTGGGAAGCTACCTGGTACTGCACGCTTCAGCTCTACAGACGGGTGGAGAGGGATGCTCACTCAGGGTCAATG